TATTTATTTATTTATTTATTTATTTTTTTTATTTTTTTTATTTAATTTTTATTATTACTTTTAATATTAATTTTTTTATTTTTATAAAATAACATTTAATTGATTTAAAATATAAATTAATAATTTTTTTATTTATTATTTATATTTTTTAATTTAATTATTTTCAAATTTTATTTTTTTATTTATTAATTATTTATTTTATCAATTTATTTATTTTTTTTATAATTTTTCATATATTTTTTATAATTTATTATAATATTTTTATGTTATTTATATATTAATTTATTTTATATATGATAATTTTTTTAATAATTATTCTTATTTTTATATTATATATTTATATATTTTAATATTATAATATTTTATTATCATTTAATTTTTTATTTTTTTAATATTTTTATTTGTCATTTTTCATTATTAAAAATATTTAATTTTTCTATTTCATTTTTAAATTTTTATTTTAATATAATATTTTTGTATAAATTAATATTTTATTATTTTAATATAATTATATTTTATTTTATTTTTTATTTTTAATCTATATTAGCATAATTTTTTTATTTTTTTAAAATTTTATATTTATATTTATATTTAAAAAAATTTTAATCCTTTTAATAATTTTATTATTATTTTGTTTTTATTCTTTATTCATATTTATCATATTTTTTATTTATTTTTAATTTTTTTTTTTTTCATTATACTCGTTTTTTATTGTTTTATTATTTATATAAATGTTCAAGTAATTATAAATATTATGTTTTTATTTTTTATATTTATTTATATAATTCCAATTTAAATATTTATTGATTTAAATATAAAATTTAATCTTATCTATAATTTATTTTAGTTTTTTGCTAATTATCTACTTAACTTTTCTTAGATTTTATAAATAAATAAATTTTATAAACGATAATATTATTTTATTTATTTATAAAACATTTTTTATTTTTTTTTAAATTTACTTTATATTAAATTATTTATTATATATAATATATATTAAATATAATTTACATATATTTATAATTTAAAAGTTTATTTCAACTAAAAAAAAATTTTATAAACTAAATTAAATTATTAATTAAATATATATTTTTTATTATAATAAATTAAAGCAAAAAATATGTAAAAAATTTATATTTTATATATAATTTTATTTTAAAATATAAAAATTATGAATATTTTTAATATAATATTGTTAAATATTAAATAATTATATTTTTTTTAATAATATTAATATTATTTTTATATTTTATTTTATTTTTATTTATATTTTTAATTGATTATAATTTTTTATTATATTTAAATATAAGAGAAAAGTATTTTTAATTATGATTAGATTAAATTATAAATAATATAATTAAGAATAATTAAGAATATACATAAAATTGTTTAATAATACATATATAATAAAAAATAATAAAAATAAAATAAAATACAATTTTGAAAATAAATAATTAAAAATTAAAATAAAATGTTAAAGACCCGCAAAAGGAAATAAGCAATTAATCATATTTAACAACTAGAAAATCCTCCTTAAAAGTACATACATTCTGGTATTTCTCACACATCATCTTGGAACAAACTTCGTGTTTAATTTTAACCAATATATGAGGATTAAAAATAACTATAAGAATAATTAGACTTAATATCAGATATGTCATAAATAGTTACTCATAAAGAAATTTAATTACTATCAAAAGAACTAAAAGCCTGTGAAAATGGAAAAAAAATATTTGTGCAAATGGGTGATTGTGCTGAATCATTTTCAGAATAAAATTCTGAGTTTTTAGATAAAAAAATGAAGGCTATAATAGCATCATCAAAAATAATAAAAGGAATTTTAAATAAAAATTGTTTAACAATAGGTAGAATTGCAGGATAATTTTCTAAACCTCGCTCCTAAGATTTTGAAATTCTTTCAAATGGAGAAAAAGTATGTACTTTTAGAGGAGATATAGTAAATACAATAGAAAAAAGAACTCCTGATCCTTTAAGATTAGCTAAAGGCTACTAATTGTCTTTTTAGGCTAAATAATATATTGAAAAGAATCAAAAAAATATCACTAACTCTGATTTGTTAGATTTTATTAAATAACATTAAGGTAATTTTATATGAAAATAAAGCTAAATAAAAAAAAAGATATAGATAAACTATAATAATAAAGTATAAATTTTATTATAAAAAATGAAAATAATAATTAAAATATATACATTTCTCACGAAGGACTTCTTTTAAATTATGAAGAAACCCTAACTAGAATGATTGAAAATAAATATTATGCCACAAGTGCTCATCTATTATGGATAGGGGAAAGAACGAGATAACTTGATGGAGCTCATATTGAATTTTTTAAAGGAATAGAAAACTCAATTGGAGTAAAAATTGGCCCTTCAATAAAAAAAGAGGAGTTCTTAAAGCTTGTCTAAACTTTGAATCCTCTAAATTTAAAAGGAAAACTTATGATAATAACTAGACTTGGATCAAATATGATAGAATAAATTTTACCTGAATTAATAGAAGTAAAAAAACAAAATAATCTTAATTTCATATGGTCTTGTGATCCTATGCATGCAAATACTTTTACTTCGAGTGTCTGTAAGGGCAAGAAAACAAGAAAAGTAGATGAAATTTTAAAAGAATTGAAATTATTTGTAGACATTCTTTCCAAAAATTAATAGCATATAGGCGGTATTCATTTGGAAACCTCAGCAATAAATGTAACTGAATGTGTGGGAGTTAACTTAGAAGAAAATGATTTAGATAAAAATTATACTACTTTATGTGATCCAAGGTTAAATATAATTTAGTCTTTATTCGTATGTGAGCAATTTTCAAATTATGTTAAATTTTATTAAAAATGATAATTATTAATTTTATTTAAATTTAATAATTTTTTTTTTTGAAAAAGATATTATTTATTTTTTATATTTAAATTTATGAGATTTGGTTTAACTTTATATATAAAAAATTTAAAAAATAAAAAAATTAAATTTTAAAATCAATGTAAAATATTTATTTTCTTTAAATAAATAGATATATAAATATTTTTATAATATCCATATAATATTACTTAAATGTATTTTACAATATGAATATAATAAACATATTATTTTAATTATGAAAATATTAATATAAATCTATGAATTTCAATAAAAATTTAAAATGGGTATCTAAATTTATATATATGTGTATCTGCTATAAATTAAGTTTATTAAATTATTATTATTTTAAATTGAGTTATTTAAGTAAATATTTTATAAATAATATTTAGAAAAATATTTTACTTAACACTTATAATATTTGTTTATTTAAACTATAAAATTAAACTCTAAAATATTTTATATTAACTGTTGTAGTATATTTGTTATAAATTATAATAAAAAAATATTACATATTCATATTCATATTATTTTATATTTTTATCTCTATACAGATTTTTTAAAAAATTTAATTTAAAAAAAATTGTCATTATCTATTTTTTGACTCCTTTTTGATAATTGTGTTTTTTTTAAAAAAATATGCAATATAAACAGATTAAACTATAAGGATGAGGGAACGAGAGAGATACAAATGAGAGTTGAAGTAATTTTTCTTATTAAAATAGCTCAAAAAATTTTTTCAGTTTACTTTTTTTAAGTATCAGTTTCTTTTTTTTAACCTTTCACCTAATTTTTTCACTTTTTTAAAACTATTTTTAACAATTAAAACTTTAATCTATATCACTAAATTTAGCAATTTTATTTTCTAAATTTCTGTAAATATTAAATAAAATTAATTTAGATAATACTCATAATAACTATTAAAATTTAAAATACTTTTAATCATAATTTAAAAAAATAAACTTATTTATATATAGAAATTTATGTTTAATTTTATGTTAAAATATATTTAATCCATAAAATAATATAATCTAAATTATCCATGAACAAGATACTCAATAAAAAAACTATTATTGTTAAAATTATCCTAATTTTTTTACTAAGATTAGAAAAAAGTGTATATCAGTCAACTAAAACAGGTAAAAAAGTATTTATGAAATTAATTTTCCAATATTTATATTTTTTAAAATTTATTTAAAAATAAAAAGTCTAAAATAATCAAAAAAATATTTTTTGAAATTTTTTAATTTTCAAAACAAAAAATGAAATAATTTTAATTATGTATGATTTAAAAAATAATTTAATAGAAAGTTATCATAATTATATTATTTTTAATTTTCAAAAACATTAAACTTAAAATAATATACATACTATACATTATGAATATATATTTTTAAATTCTTATATATTTTATACTTAATAAAATTTAAATAATATAAATTTTTTTTCTTAAACATGTTTTATGATGAATGAATATATATATATTTTTTTAATTTTTTAATATGTTTTAGCAAAGATAATAATTTTATTTATCATGCTTAAGATAAATATTTTTTTTCTAATTTTTGCATTGCTTCAATAACATTTTGATGTCTATCTTACGGAGTATTCCAATGTGTTTTGCCATCCAAATAAAATTATGGTATTTATATGCTTCTATTTATTCTCTATGATTCATTACATATTAGACCTCTATGATCATTTCTTTTGACTTTTAAAGGTTTTTATTTATAAATTACGTAATTTGTTGGTTCAGGATTATTTTCAGCTCTTTAAGGGTATTATTCTGGATGATAAACAAATCCGGGTGGAGGCTTACTAGTTAAATTTCTATTTTCATTTGCAATAACATGAATAGTCGTAATTTTCCTGTTTGTTTCCGAATATTTTTTTGTAAAATGTACTTTTCCCTATTTTTTTATAGTTTTATTGAATTATTATATTTTAAACCTCAATTTTAGAATGGATCGTATGGTCTTTTCCTGTAAAGGTATTTTAACCTGGTTTCCATTTAAAACCTCTTTGACGAGCTAAAATATCGTTTGGAAAAACTTCTTCTCCTCCAAACTTTTTGACACCTAATCTTCTTCCAATTGAATCTCGGCCGTTTTAAGTTGAACTTGCTTATAATTTTGTTGCAAAATTCTTTTATTTTTATATTAATATATATATTTAAATATGATATATTTTTTATTGTTACTTAATATTATTTTAAATATAGGTTTTTTGCTGCAAAATATTATATAATTTTATTCATTTTTATTAATAATTTATTTATTTTAAAAATATCTTATATAATTAGATGTTCTATATAAAATTTTAAGAATATAATAATAATTGTTTTTACTTTTTATTTATTATTGTTTTTATTATTATATTTTATTTAAAAAAAAAACATAAATTGCAACAAATGTAAAATAAAATTATATTTATTCAATTAATTTCTTAATAGTTAATTTTCTTTTTTGATGTTTTATTAATTTCAAAGTAGTTAGAAATTTGAATATTAGGTTCGCTTTCTATTTTTTCTAAACTTACTTAATATTTCTACACATTTAAATCTTATTATTAATTATTATAATTTTATAGAATATCCTTACTAATTCCAGAAAAATTCTAATCATAAACGTTACACTTATTTACATATAAGCTATTCTTTAAAATTGTATTTTTTTTGAATATGGATTTTAGCTTTTGAAAAATATTTCATTTAATTTTAAAAATTAGATTTATTAAGAGAAATTATAGTATCAATTTTTTAATTTTCTACATAATTTTTTTATTACTTCATTTATTTTTTATATTTTTTTGGCATTCCTAATGTATTTAGTTATCCATTCATAAATTTTATTGAATTATATCTTAAATTTTTTTTATAAATCTTTAAATATTAAGGAGGTAAATTAATCTTAAATATTATATGTTAGAGATTATTTTAAGGAAAATAATTTCTATAATTTTTTTACTTTTCAAAATAAATAAAAGAAAATAACAAATCTGATTACAGCTTTTCAAATCCTTAAAAATTTTTAGTTTTTTGAGTTTATTAAGAATTTTTTCTTTTCAATATTTAATTCTAATTTAGAATTTAAGGAATTTATTTAATAAAATCTGGATTTTCATCTACTAATTATTAATTTTATATAAGCGTTTTTTAAAGTTTTTTTTTATAAAGATCTATAAAAACTACATTGTTTTTAATATTTTTTAAGAGACGCTTTTTTAGTTCACTCAAGTTTTTTTTATTTTCTATGTTTAGTTCACTCATATCTTTTTTGTTTTCTATGCTTTACTTTTTTTAAGTTAAAGTTAATAAACTTTGATTAATTTATTAATTTTCTATATGAATAAAATATAAATTATAAAATAATTATTATTAACCTTATTAATCAAAAATCGAATTTATATCTAAACTCCCTTTTTTTTAATCAAAAAATTTATGATTTTCTTCTTAACTTTAAATCGAAGAATTACTCATGTTTTAAGAAGAATAATTTTCACTAAAATTTTCAATGTTTTCATTATACTTTTCGAATATATTTTTTTCTAGAAAAAGGTGAAAATATAAATTTATAAGACTTTTATTTTGTCTGTAAAAATTTTTTTATTCATAATAAACACTATTTTTCAATAAAAAATTATTTTTTTTAAATTTTGACCTTTGCTAAAATGACTTCCTTTTTAATTCTTTATAATTTTAGCAAGCAATGATAGTTTAAAATGGAGCTTTATAATGAATAATCATGCAATCTTTAATTAAGTGATCCTATTTTTAACAAGCTAAACATTTCAAACCTAAAAATATTTTAAATATATTATATATAGACAGCAAATGTATGAATTAATACCTATTTTATTAAGCATTTAATTAAAAATAACTTCTTCTTTGATTTCACAAAAATATTCATAATCTTCTTAAAACTCCTAGAGTAATTCAATAAATTAATTTCTATCAATTTTAAGCAATGTTGTAAAGTTTAAACTTCTAACATTAACCATTCTTGGTTAACCAGTAAAAAAACTGAATTACCCAAACGACATCCCTTATGATAAAGTTTCTATAATGTGAACTTTTTTTTCACCCCTTGGATAATCTAAATCAATATAAAATAAAACTGAACCTTTTTCTATAAAATAAATACTCCCATCATCAACTTCATTTTACTTGATTATTATTTCTTCAGGCGAATATCTCTATTCTTTAATTAATTAAACAGTCCTTTCAAGAACTTATTCACTAAAATTATTTTTAAAAACAGGAGAATCTTATAAAACTATTTTATTTGCTTCTATTAATAACTTTTATTTTAAATTTTAACTTAGAATGTCTATAATTTTTTATTCTTAATTAGTATTTCTTGATGTTGTTTCACTCCAAATATATTCTAAGTATTCTTTTATTTCATATTATATTGGTCTACTTACACTTTTAAGTTACATATAATTAAAAATTATATTTATATTTGATTTTTTCTCTTTTTAACTTTATTAAATTTCATTAAATATTTAGCCAATGCTATTTACAGTATAAGCAAACACACAACAGGCTATGAAAATTCCAACTAAACACAATATCATTTCATAATTATTTTAAGGAGTTATGTCACCATATCCTACTGTAATCATTGTTACAGAAGCAAAATAATAAGAGTTTAAATAAATTGAGGACCAACTTTCCATATTGACTATTTTTTTCCTTTAATAAATCCAGTCGATTGTAGTTTCATTTTTTGGAGTGATAACAGTCACCAAAATCCAAGAACAAGCAAAAATATGAGAAACAAAAAGCATTAAAAAAAGTAATTTAATAAGTTATGTAATATGAGTACTTTTTAATATATTGTTTACTAATTCTTCTAATTTTGTTAAAATCAAACAAGCTTCTTTAAATTTGTATAAAAAAAAAGATACAAGCAAAATATTATAAAATGAAAATATTTCTACACTTATTTAATTTTCAATAATAACATATATATTTAAACTTACTATTGATATTATATCATAAATTAAATGAGTCTTAATATAGTTTGATATTATTTTTTTACGGATATTAATTAAATTACCATGATAAAAATAGCCTGTGTTCATTTTAATTATCATATTTATATAAAAAATTATAATTATAAAATTCAAATAAAAACTATTAATTAGCAATTAAAATTATGTCTAGAAGGTTATTTTTATTGATATTACTACAGACAACAGAAGAAAAATTGTTAATTAAAATATGTCCCAAAAAACTTTAAAAACTCCCATAGGGTTAAAAACATCTAATTATTCTATAAGTTCAAAAAAGTTTTTATTTTCCTATTTTATAATTGTTCTCTTTTTCTTTTTAGAATTTAATTGATATGTTTTGACATTTACATCATTTATTAAAGATTAAGAAGCTTTATCATGAATTAAACTTAAATGATTACATGTTAATTACTTTAATCTTCTTGACTCTGTTTTTTATAAAACATTTTTCATTTAATATTTTATTCTTAACATATGGAAAAAATCTTTGAAGTAACTTTGATTTTCATTTTTATTTGTATTATATTTTAAAAATTAAAAATAATTATATTTCTATTAGTAATCTTATTAAAATGGTTGTCTAATATTTTAATTTATAAATGTTTAAATTTTTTTTATTGACTTCATATTAAATAAAAATATTAAATATTATTAGTAAATTCAAATAAATTAAAAATATTAAAGCATTTAAAAATATATTTATTTTTTTATTATATAAATTAAAATAATTTATTAATATTGTTAAAACAAAATGTAAATCATTATTTTAATTAGACGTTTTATTTTATTATAAAAATAATTTTTAAAAATATTCTTCTTTTATTATTTAATAGTTATTTAAAATGTAATATTTAAATTTTTATATTTTTATCAATATTATAATTAAAATAAAATAAAGAAATATTTTTTTCAAAAAGTAAAATAGGAATACGTATAAAAATGCTATAATCATATTTTAACGGATCATAAATATTTCACATTTTTAAAAAGTTAATATACGATTAAGATAGTTATGTAATGTTTTAAACACATTATAATATGATTAAAACATGATAAAATATTAAGAAATCAATTTACTTTCAATATAATTACTTATTTTTTTTATTCAAAATCAATTTAATTTATAATTAAAAATGTTTATTCTTGAAAACTGCCATTTAAACTATTTTTCAAGTATATTTATAGAGTATCTTAATACTCTATGGATAAATTTGTTTAATTTTTATTTAAAAAAAATTATTAAATGCTATAAGTAAGTATCTTCAGACTTAAAATAAAATCCTGTGAAATTTTATTTTTTCATTTATTTATATTTTATTTATTTCAATTCAATTGTTATTTCACAAATCAAAACGAAAATTCAAACCAATAAAATTTTTAAGAAAAATAGAGATAAAAATGGAATAATTAATATATATAAATGGAATATCGATTCAAATTAAAAAAAAATTTATATATTTTTATTTAATGTTTTTAATTTTATATTCTATTTTGAATTTAATATTTAATAAAAAATATAAAATTACATGAATTTATAGAATGGAAATTTTTTAATTAAAAAAATGCTTAATTTTTTTTTTTATAAAAATACGCAATATATTTAAAATATTAATTTGCATTATGATTGTGATTTAATATAAAATAAATTTCTATTTACATAATCATCATAAAATAGATCTCAAAAAATAAAGAGATATCTTTTTTATAATTTAGAAAAAAATACTAATATATATTTATGCTCGCAAAAAAAAATACTGAAATGGATAATAATAAATATAAAATTTAATAAAATAAAAAATATCTTACATAAAAATATTTTAAGCATTTTTGGATTTGCATTTAAGTATTTATATATATAATTATTAAAAAAATATAAAATTTTATATTTTTAATATTAATAAAAATAATCGTTACGAAGTAGGTAAATAATAAAATAAAAAAAAATATTTTAGTTTTTTTATTAATATTACCCTGGTTGGTATTTAATTAGTTTTTTAAGTATTATTTATGGGTAAGTTATATATTAAATTTTATAATTATTTTCTTGGACAAAAAAATATTTTATGATATCAAAAAAAAATTTTGAGAGCTAATAAATATTTTCTATAGTTATTTATTGAGTAAAATTTATTTTCTAGGTCTATCTTATGAGAAAATAGTTATTTACTGCGAACGTATAGATTTGAAAAAAATATTTTTAAATCTAAATACAATGTAGTTTAAACGAGTCAAAAATTTGGCAGTTAAATTGTCTACTAAAGGGATAATATAATTTTAATAACTTGAAAAATAAATTAATTATTATAGAATTATTAATTTTTATAAATAATTATTACTTATCCTTATTCTTTTAAAAAATATTGTATTTACAATAAACTTTATAATTATATTTTTTTTTTCCTTATGTTATTAATATAATTATAAAAATAAAAGTTAACAAAAAAAAACTTAATTAAAAAAACTAAAATAAATTATAATTATTATACATAAATTATCAATCGCATAATTCGAAAATTTTATTGAATTATACGAAAATAAACCATATAGCAGTAATAAATTAAAATTAATTTATAAAAATTTTAATATACAAAGGCTTTTTTTAAAAAAAAATATCAGAAAATATTTTTTTTTCTTTTTTTTTAATATATATATATATATATATATATATATATATATATATTTTATTTTATTTTATATTTATTAATTACTTATAAATAATTAATTATATTATTTTTTCTGATTTTTATTTATTTTTAAAGTAGATTTTTTTAAGTCTCTAAATAATTTAAATAATGAATTTATTTAATAATATAAAATAAAATTATCTTACTAACTTGAATCCATGTTATTAAAAAAAAATATAAATTGTTCTATAAAAATATTATAAACAATATTGTTATAACATGCTATAAAAATTTAAAAGCGTTAAAATGCCTTATAATTTAATTATGCATTTTAGAAAATTATTTATAACATTTTTGTATAATATGTGGGGATATATTTATGTTAAAGAATTATATTCAACAAAATATAAGGACATATATTATATATATACATATTTATATAAAAAATTAATTGATAATTACTATTTAATTTTAAATAATCTTGAAATTTTTACATAATTCATATTGTAATAAATATTTTTCTGATTAAAGAAAAAAAATTAATATAAGTCAATTTTTATAAATATATTAAATATTTGGTATAAAATTTTAAATAAAACTAATTATAATATTTTTTAACTTTTATTTAATATAATTGCATATTTAAAATCAAACAAGAAGGCTAAACAATATTTCTTCAAAAGTAAATATACTTTTTTATTTTATAAATAAATAAATAATGTAAAATTATAAATTCTTACAAAATAAGCAAAATGACAAAATGAAAATGCCTTGTTACAATATTTTTAATATTATTTTTATTTCTTTTTTGCTCTATAGACAAATTTTCGCAAAAAACAGTGCCTGGACCAGTTATTTAAAGCATACAATCACTTTACTAAATTAGGTATTTTAAACTATTTTAAATTAGTTTATCATTATAAACTTACAATTTGCAGCTTTCGCTAAAGCATAACAAGCAATCTATTCTAATTATAACACTCTCTCCTTCTCCCAACTCTTTTTCAGATATAGTACCTAAATTTTAAATAAATAAAATATATTTTTAAGCATTTTTTTACTTTAAGATTATATAAAAATTAAAGAAGGCTCTTAATTATTACAATAAGGATTTAAAGAACATATCCATTTTTTATTTTATAAATTTTTCAATTAAGGTCTATTTATATTTTAGTTATGAAAAATTTAATAATATATTTAAATTACTTATAATCATATTTTAAATTTTTAATACCACTTATCGCCAGTATTTTTTATTCTTTTATCACTAAATTGTTAAAATATGCTGTATTACAAACTAAAATTTTTCCTTTGTTGTTTGATAATAAAACATATCCAATTTAATTAATTGAATTAGTTATTTAATAATTAAAATTATCTCCATTATTTTATAAATATTTTTATCTAATTATTTAAAATACTTATACATTTTATTTATTTTGTTTTACATTAAACGCTCTATAAATGTATGTTAAAAATGTTTATTTGATTCAACTTTAATAGAATTACTCATCATAATAATACTTGATAATCTACATATAATTTATTAATTTGGAGATAAAACTAGTTAAAGAGTTTAATTACTATCACCAATAATTTAATAATTAGTTTAATTGGTAAATATTTTTTATAAAATATCTTCCATTTAGAAATAATTAATTAAAAATTTATCAAATATTAATTTAAACAAATTAATTTAAAATATAATAAAATCTAATAAATTACATGTTATAATTTTTTTTATTTTTATGAATTTTTATTAAAAAATATATCAAAAAAATATTAAATAAAATAAATTAATTATAATATTTATTATTATTAATAAAATTATAAAATAAAATATTGAAAAAATATGAAAAATACATAAAAATAAATGATTATAGAATAATATTTTATAATACAAAAATCAAGTAAACAAAAAAATATATAAAAAAAAAATAAGTTGTTAAACTTTGTAAATTAAATTATACTATAAATTAAATACAGAGAAAAAATAATTAAATTTAAATTATTCTTGAATAAATTTATTTTTAATATAAATAAATTTAAATGAAAAAATAAATAATAAATATTATATAATATATAATAAACACTTAAATTTAAAACTAATATTAGTTAATATTAATTGAATGATATCTTTAAATTTAAAAATATTAAAAATTTAAAATTTTAAAAAAATTTATTAATAAAAATGAAAATATACTATAAATATAAAAAAAAAACTAAAATTATGAAAATTTATAGTAAAAAATGAATTAAATATCTTTATAAAAAAAATATATTAACAACATAAAAAAATACAATATAAAAAATAAAAATCTTAAAAAAATATTTATATTTAAATAATATTTATATTTATATTTATATTTATATTTATATTTATATTTATATTTATATTTTTTTATAGCTATCTTTACAAGTTTTATTTTTTTTTATAAAAAAGTATTTTTTTTCTTTATATTTTAAATAATAATTAAAAATATGTCAATTTATAAATTTGATCGTTAGCAAGAATGTTAAAAATAATAAGAAAAAATATCTTATTTATAAATAATAAATGATCGGGTTTAATTTCGCTTATAAGAAGCCCGATAAGCATTTGCTTAGAAACTATATTATCAGGCAATAAATTTATATTCAAAAGTTATTTTTTTGAATTCAAATAATAGTGAACCATATAATGAATTAGGCGATGTATATGCTACAATAAATGATATAAGTATGGCAATTAAATTATACAAAAAGTCTAATTAACTTAATTATACAATTTAAGTAGAAGAGAAATTAAAAAAATTATTATTTTAAAAAGGATTTCTATAAATATAGTAAGGAGAATATATAGATATTTTAGACGGAACTGCTTATGAATCTTTTTAGAAGACATTATGCTACAATTTACATACGATTCCTGAATAAAATGATTAAGATATTTAAAAGTTTTCTATTTTTTTACATGCTTATTGTTATTTATTAACTTATCATAAAAATTATGCTTTAGAAGAGCTTGAAAAGCTTTTAAAATTAGATGATAATAATGTAAATGCGAATTTACTTAAAGGGAAAATTCTTTGGAGTTTAAACAAATTACCTGAAGGCAATGCATGTTTTTGGAAAGTTGAAAGTTTAAATAGTTCACATCCTGAAGTTTAATAATTCCTAAAAATAATAATACCGAAAGCAGACGAATTATTGAAAGAAACAAGACACTTTTTAGTTGAAAATCAAATAGAAAAATGCCTTTTAAATATAAAAAAAGGTTTAGATTTGTTTCCAAATAATACTTAGTTTTTATTAATTAAAGCATTTATTTTTAGAAAATAATAAGAATATGAAAATTCTCTTAACAATTTGCTTTTAGCTTTTCATACTATTAGAGATAAATCTCTAGAACTTGAAGTTAAAAATTAAATTGCACTTACATATAATGAAATGGGAATGATTTGCTTTTAAAGATAATAATATGATGAGGCTATTGCTTTATTTAACGAATCTTTATAATTTAAAGCTAATGATTGGGGCGTATATTGTAACAGAGGAGATTGTTATAGGTTAGTTTAAATAATATTTTATTTAAAGAAATTATTATTATAAAATTACTTAAGTTATTTTTTAATTTTATTTTATAAAATAAAAAATAAAAAAATTAATTTTATATAAAATTATGAATTTTTTAATTTTTGTTAAATATAGAATGAATAATAAAATTGATGAAGCTTTAAAAGATTATTTAAAAGCTTAGAAAATAGATGAAAATAGAGAAGAAATTAACACTAGAATATCAATGATTAGGAATAGTAGAGGAATTATATTATTTAATCAAAAAAAATATGAAAAAGCTATAAAAGAATTTAATGAAGCAATCAAATTTAACATCAATATTAGTTAATATTATTAAAATAGAGGAAAATGCCTCCTTGAATTAGGAAATTTATAAGAAGCTATATAAGATTATATAAAATGCTTTTAATTAGATCCTACCAATACAGAAATAGGAATAATTGTTAATAAATTGTAATAAGAATCCTTGTTTAAAAAAAAAGATAAATTAATAAAGATTAATAATACAAATGATTATTTATGATTTATGAAAAAAAAAAATATACTAAATAATTATATTTTTTAAATTTATTATATTTTTTTAATTAATAATTATTTATATTTATATAAGATTTTATTTTAATACAATCTAATTTATTTATACTTTAAAATATAAAATTACTTATCAAAGTAAAAAAAATTATGAATAAATAAAAAAATTATTAAAAAGAGAAAGTTCTTTAAATATTTCCGAATATAAAAAGATAAAATATTAAATAAAAATTACAAAGAAGAAAATTAAAATATTAATTAGTCAAATAATTAAATAAAACATAATTATTTTATTTATTAAAAGAAAAGTAAATAATAAATAATACTTTTTATAAATCTATAAAAATAATGCATATATATAAATAACATTCACTGTTGAAAAGTATAATTCGTAAGTTTTCTTAAATTAAACCTAAAACTGTTCCGAAAAGACCTATATATTTAGATTTTTAATCTACAACACCTTTGGATTTTCGAGTATTAGACAAAATGATGCCTTTTTAAATTAATTGCTATGGAAATCCCCATTCAAGGACACATGAATATGGTTGGCAAACTGAAAAGGCCGTTTAAGATGCACGTAAAAATATAAGTGATTTAATAAATGCAGATCCTAAAGAAATAATATTTACTTCAGGAGCGACTGAATCAAATAATGCAGCATTAAAAGGATTGACATAATTTCACGGGAAAAAAAAAAAACATATAATTACAACTTAAATAGAACATAAATGTATACTTGATACATGTAGAAATTTAGAAGAATAAGGTTTTGAAGTTACTTATTTACCAGTTGATAAGAATGGACTTGTTAATATAGAAACTTTTAAAAAAGCATTAAGAAATGATACTTTAGTTGCTAGTGTAATTTTTGTTCATAACGAGATCGGGGTTGTGCAAGATATGAAATAATTAGGATAAATTTGCAGAGAAAATAAAGTATATTTCCATACTGATGCTTCTTAGGCTCTTGGAAAAGTGCCTATTAATGTAGACGAGTTAAATATTGATTTAATGTCAATCACTAGTCATAAAATTTATGGCCCTAAAGGAATCGGAGCTTTATATGTCAGAAGAAAACCTAAAGTTAGAATTTTACGTAATTTTTTATTAAATAATAAAAAATCATTTCATTTTTTATTGTCTAATAATTAGCAATTATTAATGGAGGAGGATAAGAAAGAGGATTAAGAAGTGGAACTTTGGCTCCTCATGTAAATATAAAATATTTAAATAAATAAATAAATAAAAATAAAAAATTATCATATTTTAGTTATGTGTCGGATTTGGAGAAGCATGTGCTATTGCAAAATTAGAAATGAAAAACGATAATGCTCATGTTAATAGACTTTCTAACCTTTTTATGGATTAAATTAAAAAACAAATTCCTAATATATATTTAAATGGCGACAATGTAAATTTCAATTATTTTATTTGAAATAAAAAAAAAAAGGATAGAAGATATAAAGGAAATATAAATATTTCATTTGCATTCGTAGAAGGGGAAAGCTTAATTATGGGAATTAAATAATGTGCAGTTTCAAGTGGTTCAGCATGTACATCAGCTTCTTTAGAGCCTTCATATGTATTAAGAGCTTTAGGGGTTGATGAAGAATTAGCTCATACTTCATTAAGAATAGGAATCGGGTAAATATTTTTATATATATTTTTTAATAATTATTAATAATATTATAGGAGATTTACTACTGAGGAAGAAATTAATTACTTAGTTTAAGTTCTTGTTGAAAAAGTTACATCATTAAGAGAAATGTCTCCTTTATGGGAAATGGTATAATAAGGAATTGATATAAAATAAATTTAGTGGAGTTAACCTCACTGAACAATTATACTGCAAATTTAAACATAAAACTATTAATAAAATATTTATGATTAATTTTTATATAAAATAATAATATTTATATATGTATTTATATATTATAAATAATTTAAGTATTATTTATATTTGATATATAAATAAATAATTTTTGTATAAATTAAAAAAAAAAAAAAAAAAATTAATACAATAAATGTTTTAATTAATTAGTAATATTAAATTAATTATTAAGAATCCTTTTTAGTTTACATTTAAAGCAAATTTTAAATAAGTTTAATTTATTTTAAATAATCAAACTAAATATAATTTTTGTGACTCTAGAAATAAAGATGAAATTAAAAAAATGCAAAAACAAAAAGAAATTGCAATATAAAAATAATATTATGAATAATTAGAAGCACAAAAAATAAGAAATAAATATGAAAGTATCAATACAAATTAAAGATCAATTTTTTTTTGTAAAAAAAAATAAAAATCAGATATGAAATTTATTTTTTTAATAATAGAAATTATATTTTTGAATAAACAAAAAATTATTTTAGCTATAATTATTATGCTAAATTTTACTTTTCTTTATAATATAGTTGATATGTGTGAGTATTTTGTAGATCCTTTAGATGGATAGGGTTAAATATTATTTTTGAATAGTAAATATGGTAAAAAAATTAATATATTTCATAAATTTTAAAGCATTATCTCTATTTATTTGATTTATAGAAAAAAAACTTTCTAATATAATAACTAGTATATATTTATAAGAAAATATTATTATTAAAGATAATAAATATTTAAACAATAAAATATTATAATCGATTAAAGGTTTAAATTAAACATAAGTAAATTAAAAAATATATATTTTTTTATTTACTTTAAATTAAAAGCTGAAATAAATTAGTAATAAAATTAAACCAAATATTTTAGATAATGAAATATTTATATTTACAATTCTTCCTAATTATGATTTATTTATATCAAAAGTAAATAAAATATTTAATTTCTTCTTTTTATTATATAATATGTAAACTTATATTTATATATAAATAAAATATAGTTTACAATAAAACATATTTATTGTATTGATAAAACTATTTTTTTTTAAAAACTTTAATTTTTTTAAATATTGAAATTACCATTTTTAAAATTAAAAAGAGAATACTAAATGACTTTTCAATATAGCAAATATAGTAGTTAATCTCAATAGAGTTAGCTCATTTATATATGAGAAATAACATAAAAAATTTTACTCTTAGCTAATTTTTATAATTGCAATTGTTAAAAATGAAAGGATTTAATTTGTAATCTAACAGTTCTTTTTTTATGTAATAAATAAGATAATATTATTCCTTGCCTTATACAAAAGAGAATTAACTCAAAAGCGTTAAAATATAAAAAAACATAAATATAATAATTTACATAAATTTGTAATAAATAGTTACTTTTAGCAACAGATTTATTAAATGAAATTGATTAAAATATAAATCCGAAAGAACTTTAAAAAAATATTATTTATTTAATTAAATAATAACCTAACTATGAGATTTCATATTTATTAAATTATAAAAATAAAAATAAGGAAATTATGGATTTAAAAATTGACATATGATTATAATTATTTAAATATATAATTAAATATAATTTTTAGATAAATATTATAATAAAAATAACAAAAATAAATAATTTTAAAAATAAAAAATAATTAGCTTTAAATTACTTATTTTATGTTTATTTATAAATGAAATAAATTTTTTATTTATTAAAAATAAAATATATTTAATTAAATATTATTTTATTTAATATATTTTTGGAGAAATTTTATTTTTAATTATTAACAATTAATTAAATTACGATAAATTTATATGTTTGTATTAAAAAGAAATATCACAAATTTAATAAAAATTAATTTATTATTTTTATATATTTAATTTTGAAAATATAATAATTTTGTAAAAACAAATAAATTATAATTTTTTTTTTTTACCTAAATCATTAATTTTAATTTTAAGAAGAAAAATAATTATTGATATTTAAGCTAATTAAATTAAAAAGCAATTTAACAATAATTACATTAGTTATTAATTATATAAACATAATTTGTAATAATAATAAACAGTTAGGTAAAAATTAATGAATTAAGATTTTATCAAATCATTATCAAACGAAATTGATTTAATTAATAAATAATGTTAAAAATAAAAACAAAAATGTCATATTTTTTATTTTTTTATTTTTTTTTTCAAATATTAAGAAGAGTTAAATTAATAAAGAAAATTATTACCGTTGATTGTTTAAAAAAATTAAATTATTCATTCATAAAAAGTTTAAAAGAAAGTAAATGCTTAAAATAATAATAAAACAGAAATAAAAAATAATCCTTTCTTCAATAGACCATATTCAGAAGATGCAGGAAAGATAAAGACAAGTATAATTGACGAGCTCAAAAAAAACGGAAGCCGAAAGATATATGTAAAATAAAAAGTTTCTCAAAAAAATGAAGAAGATAATTTTAATGAGTTAGAAAAAGTAAAGAAAAAAGGTTATGTAGGTAAGCTTTTTAGATAAATAGAAAATTCTAAAACAATAATTTATAAAAATGATTAAATGGAAAAAAATGGATATACTTCGCAAAATATTCCTTATTTATCCAATTATGATGATGAAGATATTTAAGATTTTAATAAAGATGTAAAATAATAAAAATATTTTTAGATTAAAAAAAAAAAGGAAACTTTATAATATTCAGAAAAATCAAGTTTAGAAGATTAAAGTTAAACATTTAATAATGATGAACATAATAATATCTAAGAAAGCAAACATGTATAAAAATTTAAATGGAAAATAGGAGATTTTATTGGGGCAGGAAGTTTTGGATAAGTTTTCCGTGCTATGAATTGCAATACTGGTGAAATATTCGCTGTAAAAAAAATTAATTGCTAAGCTTCGTCACATTTAGATAAGGATTTCCTTGATTAACAAGAAAAAGAATTAAAAATAATGTAAGAATTATCACATGAGCATATAATATAATATTTAGGACATGAAAGATAAAAAAATTGTTTATGTATATTCCTTGAATATATGAGTGATGGAAATATAAGTCAAATACTGCAAAAATATGGCGCATTAGAAGAATAAACGATAAAAATATATGCAAAGTAAATTTTAAAGGGAATAAATTATTTGCATTCAAAAAAAGTAATTCATAAAGATATTAAAGGGGCTAATATATTAGTTGGAACTGATGGAGTAGTTAAATTATCTGATTTCGGATGTGCAAAACAACTAGAATTGACATTAAATTCTAATCAGGATGCTATGCAGAAAACACTTAAAGGATCTGTCCCTTGGATGTCTCCTGAAATTGTTAAATAATCAAAATATAATACTAAATCTGATATTTGGTCTTTTGGATGTACCATACTTGAAATGGCTTCAGCAAAACCTCCATGGTATAATTATTAATTCGATAATCCAATTGCAGCTATAATGAAGATAGGTCTTAGTGATGAAATTCCGGAGATTCCAAGTAATATATCTTCTGGGTTAGATAGATTTATTAGATTATGTATATAAAGAGATCCGTAAAAAAGACTAACAACAGAAGACTTATTAAAAGATTAATTTTTACAAGATATTTGAATATTATAATTTTAAATTATTTTTTTAATAAAACAAAATTAAACATATAAAAATAAATTTTATAAAATATTACAGTATTTTAGTAATTATAATGAAAAAACTCAATTTTTATTATTTTAAGAGTTTTTAAAATAACTAATTTAAATTAAATTATAAAACTTTTAATTATTTTTTCAGTAACTTATTGCGTTGCAATTTACATAAATTTTTAAAAATTTAAAAAATTTCAATAAATAAATAATCATTTTTATTTTTATAAATTAAGTTTTTTAATTTTTTTTTAAAAAAAATTTTTACTTTTACAATTTAAATAATTTAAAATTTATTATTTAGAATCAATGAAATAATTTATGCTATAAAATTTACAGAATATTATTAGAAACATAATTAAAATTAAATTGTTATTACACTACTTTAATGAGCACATCCCTTCCCTAATAAAAAATACAGATATTGGGATTTGTCTTAAAAATAATATAAACTGAAAAAAGTTTAAATATTTTTACCTTTAGTATGTATGAAAGACTAAATATTTAGGATAAAGAAACTAAGAAATACAGTAATTAATAAGAGTTTATTTGTATTTTTTATATATTAAATTATGATTTTAATTAATATTATAGTTATAATATATTGATTAAAGAGAAAAATTCAAATTAAGCAAAATTAATAAAAAATTTAATCAGAAAAAATAACTAAGCTTACGATTGAATAAAAAATTACAAATTCTTATTAAATTGCTTTAATAAGTATTTTTAAGATAAAAATTTTAAAATGAAATAATTGAAATAATAAATTAATCTCCTAAATCATAAAAAAATAATTAAAGCAAATTTTCAAAAGGTTCTGTTATTTTAAAAAATTTAAGAAATAATCCCGATTCCAAACTCAGACCTCCTATAAAATAAAAAATTAAAAAAAGGAATAATTAAATAGAAATTTAAAACAACCTTAATTTAAATAGCCTTTTAAAATAAGAAATACCTATATTATAAATATCAAAAATTCTATAATTTTTATTACGCTTTTTTATAACAATTACGAGCATTAAAATCAAAACATAGAAAAAAAATTAAATTCTTAAAAATAAACAGAGTGAATGTATAATAATATAAAAAAATAAAATATCAGATACATTCTCTACTTACTGGCACACATGTATCAGCGTATAGATTATTTGAGTAGCAAATAAACTAATCTAGAAAATTAATTTTGATGTTACTTAGGAAAATAATATTGGGTAAAATGTCAAAGAATTATAGTATATTACTAAGAAATTGAAAAAAATATACCAAAGCCGAGTCTGGTGATCACATATCTCACTATATTATTTATTAAACTTAAAATATTATTTATTAAACATAATATTATTTTTTTACATTTTTTAATTACTACTTTATTTATTAAATAATTTTCATGCTATAAACATTATGTGTAAAAATATAATTATTTAATTTAAAATTAAAAAATAATTTTTAAAGATTTGTAATCTATAAAAAATGTCAAAATAAAATATTGATTTAAAAAATAAAAAGCAAAATACAATAGATTAAGACTTTGAATAATAAAAATAAAGAGAAAAAAAAATAAAAGCTTTTTAAAATTTAATAAAGTTATTTAGAAAAAATCAATTGTACGAACATAATGCAATAGTTTATGACTGTAGAGTTTAGTATTTTAGATGTATTTTTATTAAATAATTTTATAAAAATAAATTTAATTTTATCAAGCTGATGTTTTTTCTGAAATTTTTGAAGATTATAAGGACCAAATATATGAAATAGTAAAGGATTACTATACACCTAACAAAAATAAATCAGAATCAGAGTTATTAGATTTTTTGAAATTGTATTTTTTTTAAAAAAAAAAATTATATAAATATTAAAATTAATAAAAATAATTAATATTATAGTTTATCAGAAATCAAATTAATAATAAGGTTAGATAGAGATCCAGAAGCAAAAAATAAATTAAAATATCCTTCTAAACTTATCTTTCATTAGGTATAAAAATTTAATATATTTATCTTTATAATAATAACTTTTAAAAAGTAATAAATAGTAGCTTTAACTGATCTTAAAAAAAGTTTTTACTCCTTTTCCTTAGAAATAAAAGTAAAAAATCTTATGCCTACATGGCTTTAATATTAATTGGAATTGCTTCATTATGTTTATTTCCTGTTTGGCCTTTATCGTTTAAAAAAATGATATTTTATTTATCAGTTATTATACTTTTTGCTTTAGTAAGATATATATTTTTATTTTTATGAATTAATAGTTTTTATTCAATATATTAGCTTAGCATAATGTTTTTAAAAATATTTATTTATCTTTTCTTTAGATTATTTGGATTAGAAGTTTATTTACTACCAAATTTATTTGAAGTAATATTATTTTAAATGGTAATAATTTAATAAACATATCAAATATAAAGGATGTTGCTATAGTAAAGTCTTTAAGCCCATTAATTTCATATTATAGATGTTAAGATGGAAATTGGGAATTAATTTTTCGATACTTTGGATTTATTATAATGGTTTTTATTATGTATACATTAACTTTACAAAGATAATAAATAACGAGTATTATATAATAATTATATTTTATTATAAATATATTAAGATTTTGGTTAATAATCATTTGATGATATTTTAGATTGGGGTTATCAAAAACTTGAAAATAAATAAGTTATTTTTTAATTTTTAAATAAATAAAATTTAATTTTTTTTTAAGTCAACTCCTCCGAAAAGTTTAGAATAAATAATTGATGATATTGATAAAGAAACTGATTTAAAAATAATAAATAATTAAAAATTTCAAGGAGGAGAAAAGTTGTGAAAAATATCGAAATTTATTAAATTTAAATATAATGATTGAATAGAAAAATTAAAATATAGTATTTATAAAATTTAATTAATTAAAAAAGATAAAATAAATGCATATTAAATATTAATAAAATATAAATAATACTTTTGCTAATATTATTATTAAATACAATATATTTAATTATCTTTTTTTTCTTTTTAGATAAAAAATATTTAAAAAAATGTTTCATTATTAGGCACATTAAGCGCGAGTTTATCCTGATTTTTCATCTTCTTCATCATCTTCTTCACCTCCTAAAAATAATAAGTTTAATAAATTAAAAATTATAAAATATTATAATTTTTACTTTTTCCTCCTTCTTCATTAGGATTTGTAGTATGAGGATCAAATTCTTCAAGCATTAAGATATCATCTTTACTAATATCTACTTATTTGGGCTTAGGACCTGGAAGTATCTAAAAAAATATTATTAATTAGAGAATAAATAAAAATAAAATTACTTCAGCCAATTTTTTTAATTATTATTCAGATAAAGATCCAGTTTTAGGAAATTCGACTTCAAAAACAACAATAAGATTACCATGTGACATACTATCGCCATAGAATGGCATACCATAACCTTTTACAATTTTTTTAGCACCATCAAATATAATTTCTCCAGGATTAGTTGCAATTTAGACTTCTGTATTATCTAATGTTTGTATTTTGAAACAGAATCCAGTCAAAGCTTCGAGAAGTGATATTTTTTTCTTCATTATTAAATCAGCTCCTTCTCTTTAATAAACTTTATGAGGTTTAGTCTTTACTATTACATGTAAATCACCAGCCATATATCCTGGAGCTTCATCGGCTTCTCCATGCATAATAATTTCTTGTCCATCATATGCACCCTAAATTTTATATAAATATTAAAGAAAAAAAATTATAATAATTATCAACCTTATCAATAGGAATATCTAAAGTAGATTTTTAAGCATAGACTTTATTTCCTTTGCATGATTTGCATTTATCCTTTTCATTAATTATTTTTCCTTCACCTTTACAAGTGCCACATTCTTATTAAAATTGCTAAATCATAGGACCCATTTATATTGTTTTAACTTGAACTCCTCTTCCTTTACATGTTGTACATTATTTAACTTCAGAACCTCCTTTTCCATCACAAGTTTCGCAATTTCTTTGTCTTTAGAAAGGCATTTTTGCGGTTTTTCCCAAATATGATTCTTCTAAAGTTACTTCTAATTCTGCTTTTACTCCTCTCATTTTTTACATTCCTCTTTTGTTTTTTACACCTCTATTACCACCTCCTGTTAATATATCGAATATATCTTTTTAATTTTAAATGTTATTAATTTTTTCATTTTATTGAAAAATAGGATTTAATACCTTCATGGCCACCTCCCCCTCCATTTTCTACACCTTCCAATCCATATTAATCATAAAGTTCCCTTTTATTAGGATCCGATAATATTTCATATGCCTATTAATATTCTTTGAACTTTTTATAAATATTTTTAAAATAAATAATTAATATATTATATATTATATCTATACCTTTTCTGAATTTCCTCCTCTGTCAGGGTGATGTGTTTTTGCATGTTGCATAAAAGATTTTTTTATTTAAGCAGTTGTAGCATCTTTAGGAACACCAAGGATATCGTATAGTTTCTATGTATCAGTTTCTTTTTATTATCTTTAATGACCACCTTTTTATAAAATAATTAAGATATAATATATATATATATAAATACATATATATATATATATATATATATATATATATATATATAAATTGTAATTTATTTACAAATTATTAAGTAAATAATAATTGGTTTTTTTATTTTTTATTTTTATTACCCTGTGATCCTTCTTCGAAAAATGGAAAACCTGAAAAAAACATATTTGTTTTTATAAAAATTTTTTTATATTATTTTTAATTTATTTTAATTTATTTTTTACTTTTTTTATATTTTATTTTTGTATTTTTGTTTTTAGTTTTTAAGAAAAATAAAATAGTTAAGAAAACAAATTATAAATGTTTTTTCTTTTCTTTTTTCTATTTTCTAGAAGATTAAAAATTATAATAATGAAATTTATTTCATATATAATAAAGGTTTAAAATTTAAAAAAATATAAAATATAAGTAAAAAAAAACATGTAATAAAAAAAAAAAACATAATATATAAATATAAATTATTTATATATAAAAATTATAAAATTTAAAAAATTTAAATATTATTAATAAAAAAAAAAAAATTAAGTAAAAAAATTAAAAATAATAATTTTTTTGAATTATTTCATATTAAATAAAAAAAAATATAATTTATATAATATAAATAACTATAATTTAAAATTAATATGAATTATAAAAAAAAAAAATTTATATGAATTATATTTAATTCATTCATTTATTAATTAATTAATTTATTTATTTATTTATTTATTTATTTATTTATTTATTTATTTATTTTACTTTTATTTTTTATTATATTAAATTTATATAAATTAATTTTTATTATATATTTTAAATTTTAACCTATTTTTTTATTAATTTTTTTAAAATTTTTATATTTTTTTAATTTCTTTTTAGACTTTACTAAAATTTACTTATACTTTAATTTTTATAAAAAAATTTAATAAATGAATAATATTTATATTATATTTTTTTTTTATTATTTTAATTTTTTTTATAATTATTTTAAATTTTAAATTCATTTTTTAAATATATATTATTATTTTTTATTTTTTTTTGTTTATATTTTTTTTATTATTATCAAAAAACATTATTATTTTTATATAATTGGTTTATTTTTTTTATTTATACATTAAAACTTTTTAAGTATTTTTATACTTTATAAATATATCTTCTTAAATTAAATTTTGTTAAAATAATTAATTTTTGGCAATTTTAACTTAAAATTTAATATAAATATCAATTTTTTTTATAAAAATATAAATTTATTTTAATTTTTCATATATAATTTTACTAATTTTTAATCAGTTTTTATTATTAGCTATTTTTTGCATATCCTTATTTTAATAAATAATTTTTTATTAATTTGAAAGTTAACTATTAAAATATCTTTATTCTGCTTCTAATCTTATTGCTTTTGCACAATCATTGCTTTCAATTGAAGGATAAATTAGTGCAAGTGTATATTTAATAATTGTTTCACCTAATCTTTTATCATTATCTCTATTTTTAAGAAAACCTAAAATATGATAAATTTTAAAATTATTATATGACTTTAAAATAAAAACCTGGTTAAAATATAGAATAATATTTAAATCCAAATTTATCTATAGCATCTTCAACTTATCCTTTTGTTTTCATGTACAAAAACATAGACTTTTTATCGGCTCCCATAGAAGTTAAAAGAGAAAAATGTGGAATTTCTAAAAATATATTTAATATCTATATAATATATTAATATTTAAAAAATACAATTATGTTATGCAATTTAAGCTCCTAATACGCAATATGTATAATCTACTTTAAAAAATTATTCCTAATTTAAAATACAAAAAATGTTTTTTTTTTAACAAAAAAAATTTATTACTTTTCCTTCTTTAGTTCTGCCTCCTAGTGTACAAAAAAAGCTATCATAATTTTTAAACTATTCCCAATTTTTCAAATTTTCTAATGAATCTAAATTATCGACTTAAATTATATTTAATTTCTCTTTTCCTATATAATAATATTAATATTGTTTTTGTTAAATAATATAAAAGGCAAAAAAAATGGTTAATAACCTTTTTTTTCAAAAAATTAAACAAATATAAGTAAGTAATATATACTATTAATTAAGTATATTACCTTAAATATTGTCCCATTAATCTAATTTTCTTCTAACAATCACTGTTACATTAGACCATTTATCACTTTAGCATAATTCATTCACTAAAATCTTTTTATTTTTAAAAAATCTATATTACTTTTTAATTAAATTTAATTTATTTACTCTTCCTATAGCACCTGTTGAACCTAATATTACTGCTTTTAACTATTTACTTTATTCCATTATAAATTAAAATATATTATCTATTTTATTTAGTTATTAAATTATATTAAAAGAATAGCTTTTATTTTTCTATTAATAATAATATAATTTTTTTTTAGAAATAAAATTAGTATTAACTTATTATATATTATTATAATAATTTAATTATAAATTTTAATTTATAATTTATATTATAAATATAAAAAAAAATATTATAAATAATTTTATAATAAATTTATATAATATATTATTTCTTATTATATTTTTAATTTATTATCATAAGTTTTGAAGTTTTATCTTTTAAAATTCTTATTAAGCATTTTATATTTTTTTTTTCATATTCAAGTTGCTTAATGATCTGAATATTTAGTTATTATTTTAAATAAAATTACAATTTTATTACAAAGATACATAAAATATTTACTTAAAACAATACACGATTGCTTTTTGTAAAATTAGGCTTTTAATTAGATCAAATCCTTTAATTATTCTGCATTTATTTTTAACAAGTTTTGCTAATCCATACAAAACTTTATATTGCAAATTCCTTTTCTATATAAGAATAGCTTCTTTTTTTTTCTTCATTATATTTTACTTCAAAATATTAAAAAATCTTTATTTAAATAGGATCTCATATAGTTTATTTTTATTTATATTATTTACTATATTATACCATTTATAAAAATAATATTTTCTTTATTATTTTTTAAAGATTTATCCTAATTTAATGTATTTTTTATTTTTATATAAAGATATTTTTCTTAATCCTTGAAGAAGTTATTATTATACGTATTTTTATAATACCTATAATATAGTTAAAAGCAAATATTATGTTTTTTATTAAGATCTATTACTAAAATTATTTTTAAAAGCTTAACATTACTTTGTTAAATAATATCTATAAGTATTTTCTTATTTTTACTTATTATTTTCATTATCTTCAATATTTTTTGTATTAAAGTTAACATTTTCTTTCAAAAATTTTTCTTAAAATATATTCTTCTTTTTTTGATAACTTTTATAACTATTTATTGAAGTATTTAATTTTTAGATACTTATTATTGATTTATCACTATTATTAATATTTTACTATTACTATGGATTAAATTCTTAATTTTTAGATAATAATTCCTAAGAAATCGCTTAATTTTAAAATTAAATAGGTGGCTTTATATTTTATCAGATTATAAATTATTAGAAATGCATGTTCTTTAGGTTTAAAGAACCTGCTATTCTTTAATATTTTAAAGATCCTATTATTCTTGAATATTTTAAGTATTTCCTGTTAAACTTTTTAAAGAAGAAGAATGTCTTTTGGATTAAATTTAATTATTATTATATTCATCTTATTAATTAAGAACTTATTCAGCATATTAAATTTATTATTCATAGTAATCAATATATTCATTTTATCTTATTAATAATTAAATTCATATTTAGACTAATAATTAGAAATTTAATTTTAATAGTTTAAATCTTAATCTTAATCTATATCTTATTAATCTTAATTTTAAAATTAATATTTATATTTATCTTAATCATAATCCTAATCTTAATCTTAATTTTGATTTTGATCTTAATCTTAATTATATTCTTAATCTTAATCTTAATTTTCATCTTAATCTTAATCATTAATATTTAAATTATTAATTATGTTTATACTATTTGAATTCTAAGTTTTTTATTATGGGTTGATATTATATTTTTATTCTTCTTCACTTTATTAATTAAACTAATTTGTAGATTATTAAAAATTATAATTTTTTATATTTAAAAGACTTTATCTTAATCTTTTGTTTTTTTAAAATTTAATCATTTTTATTTAAAGACTATCTTTTTTAAATATTATTAATATAAAAAAAATATATGTATTTAAAAATACATTCTATTATCAGAAAAAGATTTTTTAGTTTTTAAATTAATTCTTTATAATGTATTATTTAAATTATTAATACAAGCAATGCTTTAGTTTTGTTCTACAATATTTTATTCAGTACTTTTAATAGAGTTTCTATTGTTATTTGAGTTTTTGATATTATTATTAGTTCTTGAAGATTATATTGAATTTTTATTTGAAATATTTCTTGAAGATTAAATTTTTTTTTCTTCATATTCATCTAAATTTTCTGTAGAAAAATTTTTAGGATTAAAAATCTTAAAAATTCTTTCGATTTCTTAGAATTTTATTTTTACCGATTTTTAGTCTTCGAATTCTCTAAACATAACGATTTCATAAGAATGTAACAGACCCATCATTAATTCAGCAATCACTTCAAAAAAGGCTTGCATATACTCAAAGTTTAGTAGAAATACAGGAAAATAAATCTATTTTTACTAATTGATTATTTATTTATTTTCTTTTTTATTTAAATATGTATTATTTGGAGTCAAATTCGGAAAATCTGAAATATTTAAAAGCTCTTACATATAAAATTTATAAGCATACGAAGTTGAATTCAATAATTTTTATTAGTTTACTTTTGGATTTTATTTACATTGTTTTTTTAAGAAGCTTTATAATGTTTTATCATGTTTTTCCTTGTATTTGTGCAGAATTCTATTAAACAAATCAATTTAATAAATAAATATTTATTCATTAGAAATTTTAGATTTTATAAAAGGTGAAATAACATCATATAATCGTAAAAAAAAGTTTCCAAAATGAAATTAATGAGGAAGTTATTTTAATTTAAGAACCGGTTCATAATTTAAAAAAGATAAAAAATATTCAAAAAAAGATCCATTTTCTTAATCCAGTAAATTTATTAAGGAATTGTTTTTTAGTTTTTATAAAAAATCTATTGGATTATATTAAATTTTTAGTGAAGTAAATGAATAAAATGTAAAATATATATTTGACTAATGTTTTCTGTTTAATATTTTAATTAAAGGCACTTTTTTGTTATTTTTATATCATCAAATTGTTAAAGGTTTGGAAAAATTTAAAGAATTTTTGATTAATAATTTGGATTTTCACATAAAGGATTCCTACGTAATCTTAAAAATATTATATTTTCTTTATTTTCAATTACATGTAAATCTTACCAAGTCTATAATTTATTATGTGATAACGAAAGTCCTTATAAATTAAAAAATTAATTAATTCCTTATAAATTGCTTATGTTATTATGGCTCAAATGTATAAATGGAATATCTGTAAATTTTTGATGGACTTCATCTATTATTTTTAAATTCTAATATGTTAATGTTAGCATTTCAGATAAAATGAATTTTTAGTTTTTTGGAAGAGATAATAAATAAGAAAGTCTATTGGGATCAGGATATATTTATTATATTATTTATGGAGGTTTATCATAAATTGCATTTTACATGATTTTTTATTTTTTTATTAATGATTTTATAATATATTTAATTAGAAGTTTTTTTATTATTTTTTAAATATTAGTTTTACTTTTTATTTTTTATTTACATAATAATATTTATTAATAAAAATACTTTTAATTTATTTTAAAGAACTATGTAAGTATTTAAAATTTTTAAGCGATGAATCGACAATTAAAAATTTTTAAGAAATAATTAAAATAAGAAAATTAATTTTTTTTTTAAAAAAAAAATATAAAAATAATAAACATAAGTTATATTAACATTGATTTTTAGAAAATTGATCATAAAAATAACAGTTTTTATTATATTTTTAAATCAAAAAATATAAAAAGTTTAAATTTATTTAATTAACTAAATTTTAATATTTATAAAAATAGAGTTATTAAAAAATAATAAAGTTTAAATAAATAAAAAAAAAATCGAATAATAAAAAATTTAAAATTTATAAATATAAAAATTTATAAATTTAAAAAAAAAAAAATTATATTATAATGAATATATTAATTAAAAAAAATTAAAAAAAAAAAAAATATTTAAAATATATATAAACTGTTTATAAAAAAGAATAAAATTAAAAATTTGTTTTATTATTATAATGTATATATATATATATATATATATATATTTATTTAAATATATATATATATATATTTAACATATTTTATCAATTTTATCTAAATTTTAAACTATTTTTTTATAATAAATTAACAAATAATTATTAATCTTTTTTTTTATTATATATTGTAAGTATATAATTTATATTTAATTTTTTTCTAAATATTTTTTTATTTAGTCTTCTAAAAATTATTTCTTTTTTATAATGTAAATTATTCTAAACATTATCTTTTTTATAGTATAAATAATATGCATTTAGTATATTTTTTTAATTACAATTTTAAAATATTATAAAATTAAAATAAAAAAGAATCATATAATTTTTTTATATTTTTCTTAATCATACTTTATTTTTCCTATCAAAAAATTATATTTATTATTATCTTTATTTTATATTAAATAATATTTAAAATTATTAAAATATTTTTTAAGAAATTATTTTTAAAATAATTAAAAATATTGTTGAAGAATAAATAAAAATTAATAATATTTAAATGAACTTTATTTTTTATTTTATATTTTTTTAATCTTTATTTAATTTGATATATAATAAATTATTTAATTAATTTAAATTTCAATATATATCAATTTTTTTACATTTTTTAAAATTTACCTTGTTAAAAATCAATTTTTTCAAATTTTTTTTTAAAAATTTATTTGTTCATATTGTTTTTATATTTAAATTATTTTCAACTATTATTATACTTTAGTGTAAAATTTTAAAATCATTAATAAAATATAAATTTATTTTTTTAACAAAAAATCTATTATAATTAAACAAAATTTTTTTTTTTTTATTTATTTAAATTCTATAATATTTAATTTAATGTTCATATCATAGAAATATTATTAAAAATAGATATAATATTAATTTATATTATTTGGAATATATTTTTCCTTCCTCATGAATTTGAGTAGTCCCCATAATTTTTTAATAGGCTTTTAGTTAGGTGAAGTATCAGACCATAATAAAATTTAAATTTTCTTTTATTTAAGCCTATTCTTAAATTATTTTTGATTAATCTGTTGATGATTTATGTTATTTAAAAATCAATTCTCAATTTTGAAATTATTATCATATATTCAGAAGATTTTTTTAAAAAATGTTATTTTTTTATTTTTTCTGAATTTTTAATTAAAAAATTAAATTTCACTTTTGAAATTCTAACGAAATCAAGCCCAAATAGCATTATATATTTTCCAAAACGCAATAATTTGGAAAATTTTTACTTTTATTACCTAACATCATATTTATTATTGATATTATTAGCTATTAGGGACTATATAAATAAAATATTTTTCATTTGAAATAAATTACTTTTTTTCATAGTCAATTTAATTGATATAAGGTTTTATTTTTTTGTTAATATATTTAATATGTCTATTTTATTTTAAAAATCAAACATAAAAAAGAAAAATCATTTTTTTTCTAAGCTATTATTAACAGATAAATTAATATTTAAAAATTTAAACGAACAATGTGATTTTTGATAAAAAATAGTATTCGCTCACAATAATTATTCTATGTTTCAGATTATTCGAATATTTCGTTAACACCAATATATTAAATAAATAAAAAATAAAACTATTTTACATTTTATCTGTTTTAAAGTTTCAAATTTAATTCATTAGAACTGTATATTAATATATAATTTAAAAACAGTTCTTAAAATATATTATAGAAATAATTCAAGAATAATTTATTTAAACATATAAATATACAATATATAAAATATATAATATATATATATATATATATATATATATTTTTGTTTTTTTCAATATATTGTTTATTTGTTTTTCAATATTTTTTTCCAAACGTATCTTCTTATTATGATGAAAAACTTATTCTCTTTTATTCATCTTATAATGTTTAAAACTTATATTTAATTTAATATTTATTTAATTTTTTTATAAATGAAAATAAATATTACTTAAATAAACTTTTCTTAAAGCTTATTTTCTGTTTCTTTAAATATGTCGTTTACGCTGTAATTATATATATTTTAAAAGAAGCGGACTTTGCAATTATTATCTAAATTTATTAAATTAATATTTATATAAATATTAATTAAATTTATAATTGTACCATTTACTGATTAGTTTAAATTCTTACTAATATAAAAAATTATAAAATTAGCACTATTAAATATAAAATTACTTTTCTTTTGACGAATTAAAATTTTCTTGATAATTTTATTTTTGTAATTCTATTATTTAAACTCTTTCAAATCTATTTAATTATTCATCGATTTCTTTTTCTATAAAATCTATAAATTTTATATTAAAAAAAAAAATATATAGATAGAGTATAATTAAAAACTTTATTGTTTAATTAATTATTAATAATCGATTCTTATTTATTCTAATTGTTTTCTTAATGCTATTTTTTCTTATTCTGGAGCTATTTAGTTAAATTTTAGAATATTTTCTAATTTTAAAAGTGCTTTTTCACATTCTTAAATTTCTTGAGTAATATTTTCTTTTTTTAATAAGTTTCCAATATTTTTTCAATACTTAATTTTAATTATTCATTTTAAATTCTAGAAATTATTTATAAAAATATATTTCCTTTCTTTTAGCCAATTAATCCATCAATTGATTAAAAATTTTTTCCATTTATTTGAATTAATTTTTATATATCAACGATATAATTTTTTAAATTTTCATTTTCTTAAACTAAAATAAAATAATCTTTATTTTTCTTATAATTAGTAGTCTCTTTGTAATTAATTTCCTTAATCATATTTGTTAATTATTTTTCTCTTTCTGATTATTCTTCATTAATAAAATTAATTTTTTCTTGAAATTTTTATTCAAATATTTTTAATTATTCAAGTTCTTCGCTTTGAAGTAAATATTGTTTTTCAACATTTGTAATTTTTTGATTTATAATTCTATTTTCTTATCTTTTATTTGTTTTTTTTTTTTTATTATTATTAAAAAATAAAATAAAATAAAATTTTTAATTATTTCTACTTTAGTTCATTATAGATTTTGAATATTTGATTAGAATCTTAAAATAACAATTATAAATTTTAAATAATATATTCTAATTATGTATTTATTTAATCAGTTTATTTTATTTTTTATTTATTTTAATTTTAAAAATTTAATTTTATGTTTTATAAATTTTTAAAGTCTTTTTAAACTGAAAAAGGTATTTTATTTAAAAATTCTTGAATAGAAAAATTTAATTTTGTTATTTCTTTAAAAGATTCTTCTATTTAATCTTATACTTATTAATCATGTTTTTTTAATTCATATTTTTATTATATAACTTTATTAAAATTATCATCTACGTTAAGATATTCTTATTTCAATTAATTTATCTACAATTAAAATTATTTAAAAAAATTAAACATTTTTATAATTTTATTTTACTTTTTAATTTAATATAGTATTTGTTGATTATAATTCTTAGATAGTTTAAACTATGGTTTCATTTTCTTATACAATTTAAGTGTTTCTGATAATTATTTCTTTATACTGACTTGATAATTTAATATTCTCTTGCTATAAAAAATTGTTTATTGATTTTAAATTATTGTTTTCATTTAATTGGTTAATTAATTCTTTATCAACCTCTTAGATTTTTGCTTTTTCAAGCTTTAAAACTTCATTCATAATTTCTAAATTAATTTTCATTTCTTCTATTTATTATTCATTCATTTTTTTTATTATTATTTTTAAAGAAAAATTATAATATATATTTAAATATTATTTTTTAAAAAAAAAAAAATCAAAAATCAAAAATCAAAGCTAAAAAAAAAAAAAAAAAAAAAATGGGAAATGTAAATTGTACCTGTGTAAAATAAACAACTGAATAAAATTTATCAGAAATATAATATAAGCCGATAAATAGAGAAATAGGATCAAATAATTATAACTTAGAATATGAAATAATAAAAAGTATAATAAAAATTTAAAGTTTAATTAGAGGATGGTTAGCCCGTCGTTAATTTACTTAAATATAAATTTAAAACTATAATTAAAAAGTAGATAAACTCTTATTAGAATTTGCCTAATAACATCTATAGAATTCTATACAAAGGCCTCCTTTTTAATTTAATGATTCTGATTACCCAGAAACTTAATCAGAAGAATTTCATAAGCGTTTTTTTAAAAACCCTATAATTTTAAAAAATGGGGCTATTTATATAGGAGAATGGGCAAATGAATGTAAATACGGAAAAGGTATTCAGGTGTGGAAAGATGGTTCTATTTATGAAGGCTTTTGGGTTAATGATAAAGCTTAGGGCTATGGAAGATTAATACATGCTAATGGAGATATTTATATTGGAAATTGGAAAAACCATAAATCCCATGGATTAGGAATTTATATTCATAAGGATGGATCTAAATATGAAGGTGAATGGCTTGATGATTAATAACATGGGAAAGGTTTTTATTTAATAAAAAAAAATATGTTAACATTTTAGAAAGGTATTGAAATTTGGAAAGATGGCGCTTAATATCAAGGAAATTATAAATTAGGATTAAAATGTGGATTAGGAAAATTTATTTGGGCAGATAATTCTACTTATGAAGGCGAATTTATTAATAATGATATTGAAGGAAAAGGAGTTTATACATGGAATGATGGAAGAAAATATTAAGGAGAATGGAAAAACAATAAAATGAATGGAAACGGCATTTTTACTTGGCTTGATGGAAGAATGTATATTGGAGATTATTTAGATGATAAAAAAGATGGTTAAGGTATATTTATATGGCCTGATGGTAAAAAATATGTCGGAGAATGGAAAAATGGAAAATAAAATGGAAAAGGCTTATTTTACATATAAAAAGGAAATTGCAAGTTTGGGGAATGGAAGGAAGGGCAAAGAGAAAAAATTATTTCTTAAAATTAAGAATTTCAAAAATAATTTTAAGAAAAAATATTAAATAAGTTTAAAGATATTCTAATTAATTAAAATTTGTTTGATAAGTTTTGAAAATAAAAACGATTTATTTATTACTTTTATAATAATTTTTTTTTTTCTTTTTTTGTTTAAAAAAAAACTTCGTATTTAATTAATAAATTATTCTTTTTTTTTTTTTTTTTTTTTTTGGGAGTCGTTTTATAATTTAATATTAATAATATAAACTTACATAAGTACTTTGGTATAAAATATGGGAAGTCATAATATCCATTTACAAAAAATAATAATATAATTTTTTATAATTTATATTATTTTTGTTCACAAAAAAACAAAATATAATTTAAAGAAAGATAAGTATATAATTATATTTATATAAAGCACATAAAATGAGAACTTGTCGTTATAAAATTTGTTATATAAAATATTAAAAATTTTATACATAAAAATCAAATTATATATCTTAAGCTATTAATTATATACTTTTAAAGTATTTTAAAATCAAACTTATTTATATTATGCTATTAATTATATATTTTTAAAATTTATTAATTATATAAAATTGATAAAAATATATAATTTTTATTATTAAATGCATAATGTTGATTAAAATTAAATATTTATATGTTGTAAGATTCAAGCATATTTATATAATATAAAAAATTAAAAATTCGATATTTTTTTAAATAAAAAAAGTAATATATATAAATACAAATTTAAAATTAAGATTTTTATAAATATATACATCCATATACAAAAATGCAAATTGTGTTATTTATTGTTTATGAAAATTAAAAATTAACTAATATTAAAATTTAAAAAATGAATTGTTGCTTTATAATTATTTTAAAAATTGATTAATTATTTTGTCGAAAAAAGTTTGGAGATCAAAAATTAGGCAAATAAGCTTTATGTAATGATTGATAATATTCAGTATATCTTTTTTTTAGCAATCTTTTATATATAAGTTTTTGTTTTTTATTATAAAATGATAATTGTATTTTATTACTGAAAATAATAAATATATTTTTATTAAGTAATATATTATTCTTAACCGTGTATTTTATAATTCAATATTTAAGAATCTGTATTATTAGTGATGCTAATTTATTAATTATTACTATTTTTCTAAACTATTTAATTCTAAAGTCACTCAGAAAAATAAGCATACAGAATCTAAAGCTACTAATTATGTAAATAAAAAATTTATAATGTCATTCAATAATGCTTTTAGACTAGAAGAGGATTCATTACATTTAATCTAAACACTTCAGTAGAGTTTCAAAGCCTTTAATTTATACCCTTCTATAATTTTTATATTTTAAAGATAAAATTAAGAATTCTTTTAACATATTAAATTGGAGTATATTCTTCATTACAGATTAACTTATTTTAAAATTTAATTAATTTGGCATTAATAGGGCAGTCTTGATGAGTTTTAAAGTGATTCTTTTTATTTTAACAAAGTTAAATTTTATATTGCTCCAGTTTATCTGAATCCTTTTATTAAAGAGGATTTAAGATAGATAGTCTTTAAAAGCTTTGATTATAAGTTCTTTTTTTTACAGATATTATAACTTAAATAGAACATAATTTTTATTTCAATAATTTTAAGCCTTTACTTACTGAAAGTATATTTATAATATATATATATATTTATTTTAATATAGAGTTCTATTATGAATGAAGTAGTAGGCTAAAAGGCTAACTGAATTCTAGGTAAATTTTAAAATATTTGTTTGCTACACTCTACACTTTTTAATAAGATTTATTAATTAATGAAGAATAATTAAAATTAGTAGGTTTATGATTATATGTGATGATGAGTGATTATATTTTATATGTTTTTGTTCAATAAGTGTATTTATAAGTAGTTTTATTATGCTGCAGCTATATTGTTTTATTACACTATGGCTTTATTTTTTTATTATTGTTTTTTATAAAGCTCGTCAGCTTTAGGTTTCGGATTATTTTAGTTATAATAAAACAGGGAAAGAGGATAATAGTAAAGATTTTAAATTAGAGGATATATTATATTTGTTTTAAATAAGGCTTTATATTTGTTATGCTTTTGTAGTTTAACATGAAGAATTGCTATTTAAAGTAGATATTATTTTGATTACAGGAGACATAAAGTTTAAGTTTTGCGATTATTAATTATTATTACAATTTGATATTATTATTATTTTGTGATTTTATTAATAAATCCGAATTAATCTAATTTCTGATCATTTTCTTTTGCATCAGCCCTAAGATGAAAATATCCAGTATTTTAGGTTGGGTTTTTTTGAGGTTATAGTTAATAGGGATATTTATTTTTGTGATTAAGTGTAAAATTCTAGAATTTACTAATTAATTAACATTATATCTATTAGATTTTTAGATAAACTTTTATTTTATATTGTTATTACAGACCATAAAAAATTTCTATTAGATTATGAATCACAAAAAAAAGTAAAAAATCTGAATTTAAAATGAGTTTGATCCGTATTAGTAACATCACTAATTATTAATAAATAATAAATTCTATTTTAAACAGATTTTAAAAATATTTTTTTATATAATATATTTTATTTTCTTAAAAATTAGAATAATTATAAATAAATTAAATAAAAGAAAATGTCATAATAATATATAAAAAACTCTAACCCATTTATGATGGGAAATATTTATAACTAAAACGGAATAAGTGCACAAAACATAACATCTAAATTTTTAGAAATCGCATAAAAATATTCTACAGGAACTAAAAAGCCATAACAAACATTAGATTTATAAAACAGTATTTTATATATATATTTATATTAATAAAACTAAAGTGATTAAATATTATAAAAAAGGCTTTTTTAAAAAATCTACTGAAATAAGATAATAACTTTAACTAACAAATAAAAAATTGATAGAATTAAACAATTGTAAAAAAATAAATATGAATATTAATAATTAAATTAATTTAAATAGTATCAAATGTATCAGGATTATTTAATAATGAAGAAGCTAAAATCAATGAATTAGTAATGATAATTAAAGAGAATGTAAATACTATTTAAAATGGAATAAATGAATTATAAAACAGTAAACCTGATGAATGCATTAAATAATCTAAAGCAGGACATGAAGCTTATAAAGTAATAATAGAAATAATTTAAGGATAATTTGTTTAAATTGCAAATAATTTTAAGAAAATAACAAATAAAAGAATAGATGTTATATTATTTACTTTTAAAATGAATTTAATTTTATAAATAGGACTTAAGTTAAAATTAATAAGTTAAATAAAGAATAAATATTTAAGACAAAGGTGCAATAAGAAGGTTTGGAGCTTCAGGCGCTTAATTTTTAAATAGTTCTAATAGTAATATGTAATATTATAATTTTTATTATTATTTTTATATATTACTTTTAAATAGTGAAGATATTGAAGATTCGAATAAATTTATAAATAGAAGTTAGACTTATAAAAAAGTAGACTTCAAAGAAAAATAATAAAGTTAAATAGCAGATGCAATGAAAGTTATTAGATAATAATTAGAAAATGTTTCTTAAATGTTTGTAAGAATTGGTACTATGGTTAAAATGCATGAAACTATGATTGATAGGTTTTTTTAAAATAATTTAAATAATTATTGAATTTTTATTTATATTTAATTTAATAGAATTGATAAAGATACTGATGTTGCTATTATTAATGTTGAAAAAGGAAAACAACATATAATGAATGCTTATAGATATGCTTCATCTACAAGAGGATTAATTTTTAGGGTAATTTTAAATTTTAAATATATTATTTTTTATTTTTATAGATATTTATAATTTTGATGATTTTTGCTTTTGTTTACATAGTTTTTCTTTCTTGATATTTAATTGTTATAATAAAATATATATATAAATATTGATTCTATTTTTTTCATTTGTTTTTATTTATATTTTTAATAACTTTATGCAATCATTTTAATTTAGTAATCAAAAAAATATTTTTTTTATAAAAATTAAAAGCATATACATTTTCAAAAAAAATACATCAATATTTTTTCTTATTTTAAGTAATAAAAAATCTCAGAATTTTAAATAACTTATGTATACTAGATTTATAATTGAATATAAATTTGTCAGAAAACAAGAAACAAGTCTAAAAAAATTATTAATAATTAAATTTTAGTGTCTTCATTTTTTTAAATTTTGTAAAAAGTAATAACTATTATTTTATTTTTGAATAATTATTGTTTGTAATAAAGATATTAATATAATTATACAATTTTATTTTATATAAATTATATAAAAGTAAAATATTTTTTTATTCAATTAAATTATTTATTTTATTTCTAAATTAAACATTTAAGTGATCATAATTAACATTTTTAATTTTTAAAGCAAAACATTCAACCTAATTTAAAGTCCTAAATTATATAAATTAATTTATATAATTATTTCTAATCACACTAAAAATTAAAAATGCTTGTATATTATCTTGATTAAAAAAATGACTTAAACTCAATTTTTTTATTAGAAACATCTATATTTATTAGATATTTTTAATTTAGGATGGGTCATAATATTAAAATATTATATATTTGTTGAATACAATAAAAAAAATTATATTTAAGATGATATGAAATTAAACAATTATAACTTTCGAAATCTTTTAAATAAAAAGAAAAAAAAAATTGTATTATATTTAATATAAAATAGAATAAATTATCTAAAATAATATTAATAATAATTTTTATTATAAAAGATATTTTCAAATTATTTTTTTTTATATTATTTTAATAATAAAAATATTTCATTTATTTCTATTTAATTTTATTTATTATTTGAAATTCTTTTATACATTTTAATTAAATAATATCAAATATATATTATATATTTTATTATTATTTTTATATATGAAAATTTAAGTATATATTTATTGAAATTATTTGATTAAAAAATTGAAATTTAGTAAGAATTTAAATTATATATATTAAAAAATTATTTTTTTCAATACACAAATAATTGTTATTAACGATACTAATTGTTGAAAATTAAAAATAATTTTTATTGAATATCTAAAATATTGACAATGATATATAAAAATACTAATAAAAATATTGATTATATATTCTTCTAACTATTAAATATTTTTTATTTTTTTTAAATATATTATAAAATAATTAAATCTTTTAATTTATAAATAAAATAATAAATATTTAGAAAATAAATTATTATAAATTAACTATAATTATATTTAAAAATTTTAAAATAAAAATATATATAAAAAAAAAATAAAATTGAAAAAATATAAAAATAAATAATTAATTAAATAAAATAAAAAAATAAATAAAATTTATATTTAAAAAATAAAGATATAAAAATTTAAATATATTTAATTTTGAAAAAATATAAAAAGTATATAAATATCATTTATATATAAAAAAAAATTAGATATAAAATAATTTAATGTATAAAATGAATTATAAAATAATATATTTTAATAAAAAATAAAAATTAATAAAAAAAGAAAGTAAATTATTATCATTATTAAAATAATTATTATTATTATCATTAATATTAATATTATTATTATTATTATTATTTATTATTATTATTATTATTATTATTATTATTTATTATTATTAATATTATTATATTTATTTTTATTATGTTTTCTTTTTTATTATTCTTTTTTTTTCATATTTTTTTATAAATTTTTTATATTATTTATTAAATATATTTTTTATTATAATATTTTTGGCTTTTTAAATTTGTATTTTTTATTTATATTTTTTTATCATAATAATATTTTTTAAAAAAATTATTTTTAATTCAAGTAATATTTGAGATTTATTTTATTTTTAATTTTCAATATTTTTATTTTGTAAAGTTTTTTTTTTAATAATTTAATATATTTTATTTCTTTGTTTACAAATAGATTATATATTTAAATATTTTGATATTTTTTTTATTATATCTAATATTATAATTATATCTAATAATCCGAATTTTTTAAATTCAGATTATAATTTTATTTATATTATATATATATATTATAGTTATAATTAATTTTAATATTTTTAATAATAATGTATTTTCTTTTAAATTCAATATATTATGATATAACCTTATTTTTCATTAATAAAAATATTTAAGAATATATAAAAATAATAAAAATTATACAACAAATATTTAAATTAATAAAAAAATTAAACAATCAAATAATTAAAAAATAATAAATTTAATAAAAATAATAAAAATTATTAATTAAATAAATTACTAAACATAAAAGAATGGAACTTCTTAAAAAATATTAACCTGAAAAATTAATTGAAAATTATGCGTTTTCACTTAATGCGTGTATAGGTAAAGGTTCATCAGGAACAGTATATATTGGCATAAACAAAAAAACAACTAAATAGTTGCAATAAAGGCAATCAATATACATACATTAAAATCAGATTATGCATGGAAGATGTTGTGTTCAGAAATAAAGATAATGAAGCGTTTAAAACATCCTCATATAGTGAGATTGCTAGATGTATTTTAAACAAAGAATAATACATATATAATAACTGAATATTGCAATTAAGGCGATTTACGCCAATTTTTGAAAAAGTGTAAATCTTTTTCAGAATAAAAATGTATATAAATTATTTCTTAAATAATAAGTGGATTGTAAGAATTATCAAAACATGATATTATACATAGGGATTTAAAGCCGGCTAATATTTTAATTCACAATGATATTTTTAAAATCACTGATTTTGGGTTTGCTAAAAAATTGCTTTCTCTTGAGGACTAATTAATGAATTCTTTAGTAGGAACCCCTCTTTATATGGCTCCTTAAATTCTTAATAAGATTTAATATACTTCTAAGTGTGATGTTTGGAGTACTGCTTTAATTTTATATGAACTATTATACGGAAGAACACCTTGGCCGGCTATGAATGTAGTAGATTTAGTCTAAAAATTGAATAATATTCCTTTAGTATTCCCTTAAAAGGATTCTTAAGTATCTACAGTTTTAATAAATTTTATGACGAAATGTTTATAATTTAAAGAAAATGAACGACTAAGTATAAGTGAAATGTGTAATTGTCCTCTTTTTGAAGAATACATATAAAAGTTGTAAAAAGTAATAGAAAAAAAGGATACTCCAAATTCCAAAGAGAAGCAAAATTAAACTAAGAAAACTCCTTCTCCACAAAAGAAACTTCTTCCATAAAATAACAGTTATAAGAATTCATGCAGTACAGATTATTCTCCAAAATTATCACAAAATCCTAAAAAAACCAAATAAAAAATTTAATAAAACAAAAAATAGAGTTCTCCTATTCCAAAAAAGCAAATTGAAAACTACGAAAATCGTTCAAAATCAGTATATTAAGTAGAAAATAATAAATAATTATAAGAAAATTCAAGCGATTTTTCCCTTAAATAAAGACCTTCAAATTATACGCCTAAAAAGCAATACTTTTCCAGTATAAAAAATAATTAAAGTAACTTAAATAATAATAATCTTATTAAAACTCCTTCTCTTTTAAATAAATAAACGAATTTAAATGCACTTAATAAAACAGATTTTTTTACCGAAAAAAAATTCCAACAAAGTAATTTATAAGTATTATCTGGATTCAAAATCGAGTCTATGTCAAATAATAATTCGTAAAATAATAATTCATATTCAAATTAAAATATAATATAGAATAAATATTATAGTACTCGTTTTAAATTTAATAAAGAAGAAGGAAATAAATATATGTAATATATTTATAATTTAAAAGAAAAAGAATAAAATAGCAAATAATAATAAAATCAATATTTATTTTAGAACAATAACTGCATTTTGTTAAATAGAAAAAATAATATCTTATAAGATGATTTTATTATGTAGGATTTAAATTTAGAAAATTTTTTATGTATATGTAAAAATGTTCGTTTTTTAAAAAATCAAATAGAAGTCAATATTCGTTTTTTTAAGATATTTGAAGACAGTTTTTTGATTGAAAAACTTCTTTTTTTATTAAATAAACATCTTATATTGCAAATAAAGATACTTAAAAATTTATAAATGGAAAAAGGAGTTAACGTTTTGAATATTTAAAATTGGTAAGAATATTAATTAAGTTAAAACTTTAGGGAAATGTTCAAAAAAATAAATTAATATTATTATGAAGTTTATAGTAATTATCGAAATTATTATTTACGAGTAAAAGATAATTAAAGGTTCAAAGATGAAGCTTAATTTGATTATTAGTTTAATAGAATATTCAATAATTATTTAATTTATGAAGGAAAAGAGAACTAAGAAGATTATAAATATTTCTTTTTTTATATATACTAGGTAATTGTAAATGTGATTAAAGTTATAAATAGTAAAATATAGGAAAATGTATATAAATAATATTATAATTTTGAAAGTTTAAGTAATGATGATACAATTATTATTGATTTTTTAAGCAGAATAATAGATTATTTTTAACTTTTAAGACTTATTATTCAATATAAAGAAGATTATTCGTAAATTTTAAAAAATTTAAATATGAATGATTTCATTAAAGAAAGAAATATTAATTTTGAATTTTATGAAGAATTATAAAAAAAAATGAAAACAATAATAATATAATGACTAATAATATAAATATTCTATTATTATATATTATAAAAAAATCTAATAAATATAAAATTTATTTAGTCTAAATATTTAATTATTATTAAGTATTATAAAAAAATAAAATATTATAATAATTATTAAATATTATAGAAGTAAAAAATTTAGAGATAAATATATAAAAAAAAATAGATTTATATTTTATTTATCTTTGTAAAATTTAAATAAGAAAAAAAATATAAAAAAATATTAATAAATGTATATAAATATATAAATATATAAATATATAAATATATAAATATATATAATATATATTATATAAATTATATATATTTTTTATTTTATTTTTCAAATATATAAAATATATACTTATTTTCTTTATTTATATAGTATTTTATTAATTACAGATTTTTTCTATTTATTTTTTGCCAATATTAATTTTTTTATTTATTAATTTTTTTTTTTTTTATTTAATTTATATAATATAAATTTTATTTAATTTATTTAATAAATTATATTATTTATATTTTTTTATATTTATATTATTAAAAATTATATTATTAATAAAAATAAATAAAAATATATATATATATATTTATTTTATTTTTATAATTATTTTGATTTCAAATTATTATTAACAATTTCTTTTTTTATATAATAATAAATATTATAATTTTCTTTTTTTATATCAATTAAATTTTATATTTAATTTTTTTTTTTTTTTTTTTTCTTATCTTTAAACTTTACATAAAAATTTTTTATCACTAAATATTTATTTCTTAATAATTGAGATTTATTTTTAATACAAACATAACATAGAATTCATAAATAAACATTTTTTTATTTTTTTATTCTTTTATATATTTTATAATTTTATAATATAATCAAATTTTTCTTTATTTTAATAATTGAAAAATCAATAAATTAACAAAAAATATCATATTTTAATAAATTTTCTAATTAAATCCATTTTTTTTTCAAAATTTTAATACTCGTGATTACCTCCTTCTTCAATATCTAAATATGCATTTGGAAATTTTTTTAATGCTACTTTATAATCTAAAATTTCATCTCCTTTTTAAATAAAAAGCATGTAATTCTTTTCATTATTAATTTTCTAAACTTCATACTGATATAAAGATTAAGTATGTACTTAATTCCATTCGAATTTTGACTAATCATAATAACTAAAATTAATTCCAATAAACTTTGCAGCCGTTAGATATGGCTAAATCGAAGGGTTTATTAATACGCATTTCAAATTATATTTTTCTGTTAAATAAATTTAGTAATATCCTCCTAAAGAACTCCCAATTAATGTTACTTCATATTTACTATCAATGTATTTTAATGTATTCTCAAGCTAGAAATAATAATTAAAATATTTTTATTTGTAAAAAAACTACATTTGCTATTGCTAAATTTGGCTAAAAAGGTAAAGATAAAGATAATACTGGGAAATGCTTTTATAAAATTTCTGCTTTTTTAGAAAATCCACTTCCTCCAAACCCATGAGCATATAATATTAAGTTTTTTTTCATTATAAATTAAAAATTAATATATTATTTTTTTATAATATTAAATTATAAAATTCAATATAAAAATATTATGAATAAGATATCAGTTTGTATTTTTAAAAAATTTTAGGCGGAAAAATAAAAATGCTGGGCTTTAAAATAAATATTTAATTAATAAATTTAGTTGCTTTAATAAGTTAAACGTAAATTAATTAAGTTATTTAAAATTTTAATTAAAAAAATTTAGATAGTATATTTTATAATTTTTAGATATTTTAAATTTTACATTATTATTTAGAATTTCTATTATAGTTTATATTAGTTTATTTTTTAAAATTTATAATTCTTATTATTATTATTCTTCAATTTAATATTTAAATAATTATTATTTTTTAAAAAATAAAATAAATATAATGCTGAACTTTTTTTATTTATAACCTTTCATTTTTTAGAAAATATTATTATAAAAAAATAAAAAAAAAATATAAAAAAAATAAATGAAATTTTGTGAAATAATAATACATATAAATATTTTAAGATAATATTTTAAAAATAAATTTATTAATGAAATAAAATAATAATAATAGTAATGAAAATAATAATAATAATAATAATATTAATAATAATAATAATAATATTTTTAATAATAATAAAATAGTGTAAAAATTATTTAGTTTATAAATTTCAAATTATTATTTTATATTTTATACTTTATATGAATTATTATATTTAAAAATAATAAAATATTTTTAATTATCAATTATTTACATATATTTATGATATTTTTTTTATAAATTTATAAATAAAGTTTTTTTTTTTTAATTTCTTTTTAATTTTATTTTTACATTTCAATAAAATTTTAATATTTATTAAAAATATTATATTTATAATTTATTTAATCTCTTATATATATTTTTTTTTATTAACTTTTACATTTATATTTAAATTTATAATTTTTTTATTTTTAAATATTTTAATTATAAAATAAAATATTAGTTTAAGTATTTTAATAATATATATAATTTAATAATAAGAATTATTTCATTTTATTTAGTTGCTTATTTATAAAATCAAATAATTCTTGTGAAAATAGTAATATATTTAAATATATATACTACTATTTATTTATTTATTTTAATATAGTATTATATAATTATTTATTGTTTTATAGTTCTTCTTTTTTTTCTTCAAGTTTTTTATTTTGAATTTCTATGAAAACATTTCTTCTTTTTATTTTCTCTTGTTTACTTTTAATTTATTCTGTAATATTCATTTAATTACTTTCAATTTTTTTTATAATAATTAAAAAAATGAATATAATTAATATAAGTTTTAATATTTATTGATAATTTTTTATTGAAAATATTTTTTATTACATAATTATTTATTTATATTAAATTTGTTTTATTCTTAAAGCATTTTTTTAGCAAAAAAAATCAAATCTAAATCTAAGAAACAATTTAAATACAATATATTTTAAGAAATTAAATAAAAAATATAAATATTGATTAACATTAGTAAAAACGCTAAAATAAAATATAATTTATATAAATTTCCATACAATGTTTACGATTTAAAATTTATTTTTTTAATTATAATTTATAATTTAATTATAAAATTTTTCATAAAATAAAAAATTATCAAATAGAAACAAACGAATTAAATTAATTTGAATTTTAATTAATAAAATATCACTTTTTGTTAAATAATTATAATGATAATGTAAATTTAAAATAATCATTTAGGACAATTATTAGATAAAATATTCATATTTTTTTTACATTTAGAACATTAAATTAATCCTACCGAAATACAACTTTTACATTTATAAATATCACAACTAATACATTACTAACCTTACTGAATTGAATTTTCAGGACATTTATCTACACATTTATCCTCAAACAAAAAATACCCATTTTGACAATCATCACACTTATCTTGATTATTACACTTTTTACAATTTAAATTACAATATTAAATCACAATATACAAATCTCTAAGTCCGAAGAATTAATCATTATTTTCTGCAATTGGCTTAATTTAATCATTCGGCATAACTATTTATATATAAAAATTAATCGAACTACCTTCTAATCCTCGTTTAAAATCAAACTCTTTATAAAAATTAAACTATTCAGCTTTTTTACCATACTTTCCGCAACTCTCAACAGCATTTGTGGCAAATTAAATACTGTCATTATAATCACAAACTGTTTTTCCTAAACACATATTAATTTAAAAATTTGTATCATCAATAGC